TATAAAATATACAGTGTTTTATAAGTGTATGTGCGTTTTTGTGTTTGTGCTTTTAATTTTCTCAAATAACATTCAGCTGGAAATCTCACTTGTTTTTCTGACATTTTTCCCTCAATATTATGTTGTTAACACCCATCCATGGTGCTGTATGTACATCTAGTCATTGTTTGAGCTGTAGCATAGAATTCCATTACATTTCTCTTATGCACAACTCTAATGTTGGACACGACTTGCCTCCAACTCCCTGATACTTAATTTTACTAAATACTGCTAAATTGTTTTTATTGAATAGCTATACCCAGTGGGAGTGCCTGTCTCCTCATATCCTCCCACACTTGGCATTCACTGCCTTTCTATTTTTCTCCATGCTTGTATTTGTTTTAATTTGCATTTTCTGGCTCGTTGTGAGTATAAGCATTTCTACATCTACTCAGCCATGTGGGCTTTCCTTTGGGTAAATCACCTGTTCATATGTTATGCTCAATCTTGTTTAGGGTTTCCTACCGTTTTCTTATTTGTCAGAGTGATTTGCCTAGTCTAGGGGAGGGTTTCTCAACCTCAGTACTATTGACATTTTGGTTGGATGATCTTTTGTTGTAGGGAGATGTCCTGTGCACTGCAGGATGTTTAACACATCCTTGGCCTCTACCCATTAGGTGCCAATGGGTTGCCTCTNTTTTTTTTTTTTTTTGCATTGATTTTGATTGTTAAAAATATTGTTATTACGATATTATTTATTTGATTACTGCGTTTTTGGTGCCCTCTTAAATTTTGGTCCCAAGTAGAGTTAGGAGCCTCAGCCTCTTCTTGGCCTGGCTTCCAAGTAAATGCCAATTTTATCCCCTTTTTACAGATGAGGGAAATTAGGCCATGAGGGTAGGTAACTTGCTGAGGTCACAAAGACACAGTTCACAAGTTGCATGGACAAGATTTGAGTCCAAGTTGTTTGTATCCAGAGTCTACAATATGCGCTGATCTGTGCTGTTCAATACGGTAGCCACTGGCCACACATAGCTTCTGAGTACTTGAAATGTGACCAATGCAAATAAGGAACAAATGTTGCATTTTTCAAAATGTTGATTCACTTAAATTTAAACAGTCGCTTGTGTTAGTAGCTACCATATTGAACAGCACAGCTACAGAGATTTCCACTTGTTCCTGTAGGGTGTTTGAGGCACATCCTTTCCCCTGTCCTTTGAAGGGCTGGAGAAGTGGTTAAGTAAAGGGCTTGGCCTCAGGCTGTCCAGGTTTAAATCCCAGCTCCATCACTTCCTAGCGGGGTGACCATGGGCAAGTTACTTAACTGAATCTCATTTCTTCCCCTCCTATAAACCATAGATGATCAATGTATTTCTCTTGTAGAGTTGTCATGAAGACTCATGGAGATCATGGTTGTAAAAAATACTTAGCACAATGCCTAGCATGTAACAAGCTCTCATGATTATTGATGTTGTCAGTCATTGATGTCTGTGCCTCAATTTCTCTCATCTTTGAAATGGGCATAATTATAGACCTACATCATAGGGCTCATGTAAATGTTATGAGGATTAAAAGAAAACACATAGAAAGTGCTTAGAATAGTGCCTGACACAGTGTATGTGCTCAATAAATGTTAAATGTTTTTAGTAATTATTTCAATAATCTTGACTTAGATATTGCAGAGACTCAGATACCTCAAATAGTAATGGTTTTTAATTTTTCAGACTCAAGGTACAGAGAACTACATTAATCTTACTCCTCAGCACATTGTCATCAACCGTCCCTGCAATGTCTCCTTTTGTTTTATTTTATTTTTATTTGAATCTTCTTTATCCCCAATCTCCATCCTCATCACCTTCTCCCATAGGCACATCTGGCCTTAAACATGCATGTGTCCTTATAAAATATACAGTGTTTTATAAGTGTATGTGCGTTTTTGTGTTTGTGCTTTTAATTTTC